ACTTACAGACTAATTTAATATACCGTAAAATATAGAAAATAAGCACAGCACCCATTTTATATATTAAGCATTAATATTTTTAAAAATAGATAAGAGATACAAATTTGCTCTCGAATTACAGATTAAAGTGATAACAGTTAATTTTTTTGATCTATATTCGATTAGTCTAAGACGATTATATGAAAATCATACAGTATATGAAACAAAATACTTCATATTCTACATATTTCGATGAACATTACTATAATAAGTTGATTTATCTGTTAGGAAGATCTAAAGAACTTAAAGAAGTGGGGTCTCGTGGATGTGTGTACATAATTTGTGGCGTTGATGTGAATTTCTTAAAATTAAACAAAAAACAACAACTGATTCTAAGATAAAAAAAAAGAAGGAATAAGGTTAATCCGTTCGGGAACATTACATAGAGACCAAGCTGTATACTAAGTTATACATATAATGTGTTAAAAGTAACGGAATAATAATCTTTTAATAATGATAATGCATATTTGGCGTATAATTAGCATTACATAAACAATCTTCAATCCCCTGCGCCAATTCCTAATTAGGGAATATATTAATTCTGTATACGAAGAAAATACTAAAGCATGACTTTCACAAATTATGTTACCTAAAAATGATGACAAAGAATGCTTTCGGTTCATTAAAAGATTTCGTGTGAAAATTGGATTTCTATCATTTTGAGCGAAGCAAATTGCCATGATTTGTTTTTTTTCCAATTTTGGATATATTACTTTTAACACGTAGCTAAGGGTGACAAATTTCGCGGGAAAAGGGAGGCACATTATTATTATTATTATTATTATTATTATTATTTTACATAAGATAAATATATATAAAAGTTCAGATTGTGAATGATACGTAAACATTACGAGACTTTTGAGAATTTCAAATTAAAATGAAACAGTTAATTTTGTATTAACTGTATACATAATATGCCGTTATTTACACAATGATAATGAGAAAATTGGAATGATACGTACCGTATATGTAACAGGATTATATGTAATAATACACTTGCATACTGTTGTTACGTACGTACGTACTGTATGTATCAGGTATGTATGTATATAATTCGTTACCCCAGATAATATACCGATACTAATGCAGCGTACTTAACATTAATATAGCAAGGGTTTACCTTATAATAGTAATAGGCAATAAAATTTGAGATTGCTGTGTTACACCTAACCGAAATACCGGACAATTATAAATTTTTGCAAATTAAAAAATTTTATAATGTAATATATAGGGTTTAGAATATAATAAATCGACTAAACCTAAACACTATCGCGTATACATATGATGAGTTAACCTATTCTCGAAATTTATAATTTTGTATGCTCGAACCACTAAACAGTCTCTTTTTTTAATAGAGATCACGATGATTATTTATGCAAAATATGCATATCGTTATTTGCCATTCAATGACTTCTGGAACACCCGGCATGATCGGCAAAAGAGTTCGGGCACGTGAATGTCTGTGGCTTGATTCAGCCGTGTCTTACGTAAAGTTTAACTACGTATTAATTTTTGGTTTATTCTAATGTTCTTACCAGCAGCCTATTCATGGGCCAATATAGAATATTATATAACCCTTCATTAATACAAAAAAAACGTAGAATTCGAAAAAGAAGAGAATCTTTAAGACAAACTTAAATAAACAATAATTATATACATAAGGCACTTAGACCAGAATGTAATTTGAAAAAAATAGCTTATTTAATTTAATTACAAATAATGGAATGTTAACCAGTCTGGTATGGTCCAGTCCAGTCCAGTCTGGTCAGCTTTGGTCTGGCCTATTGTGGTCTATAGTCTTAAAACTTAATAAGTCCAGGCCGGTCTAGTCTTAAGGCCAAGAACAGACCAACTTTTTATATTTGTTTTAAGATTGACTGTGGTCTATTAGTCTAGACCGGACCAGATAACACCCCTAATCCTATTTATGAATCGTTTTTTTAGTATTTATAACCAACTTTAACCATCTGGTAAAAAAATTCATTCACCACTTTAATCCATTTTATATTGTCGTTAACTTCTTATTGTTTTTGTTCATTCAGCTAATTTGTTTATTCGATGGATTCACCCCTACGTTAAATCTTTTCAATTAAAAAAGAAGTGGATAGCTCGACGAAAACTTCTATAATTCGTTTTCTCTTTTATTATTATTATTATTATTAGTCATTCGAATAAATTTTCGATTCAATTCATTTTTGTTATTTTGTATAATGGTTTGGTTTTATTCTTCAAAGAGGCTTCGGCTTCACTTAAATTCGATAATTTACCGTCTAGTTTAAAATGGGGGGTTTTTTTTTTTAAAAAAATAATCTTTGTCCTACAAAATTGATTTAAGTTCTATAACAAATACACTAAAGAAGATTTCAAGCTAAGTAAAAAAAAAAGTATATTTTATTTTATTTTATTTTTTTTTTTTTGATATTAGAATTAACACTGTAATGTTACCGGTAATAATATTGCGGAGTAACAAATCTCTTTCACAGCCACAGCCACTCACGTGCCAGCATTTTTTGTGTACGTACGTACGTATGCATGCATGCAGGGACCATCAAATATTTGGACATTAAATTGAAAATAATTATAGATAATTTATTTGACTCTAGAATTCTATCGCTATATAATTTGATATACTGATGACTTCGTATAAAGAATAGGTATATAAAGTATATAATTTATTGTACTTTATGTTGTATAAGAGTAGAAGAGATTTACATGTGACCGAAACTATTTCGACTTATGCGAAACTAGTTATGGCATAAACCGTAATAGTTGTGGCCAAAGCCGAAACATGTATAATTCGATCACACTACAGTATTAAATTCTAACTATTCAAGATGACTTAAAAAATTCGGCTAATGACAAAATTTTTGGTTCCTTTCTATTCACTATGATACTAATCAAGATTCCCAAAGCCTAATCACTTAGAAAGAAAAATTTTGGAAAATTTTGGTTAATGTTGAAGAATTTGAATAACATTAAAAATAAATGGGATTTGATTTCGGTCCTTAGTAGATAGTGTATTTGCAAATTCATATTCTCTACGTCTGCGCTAATTTTTGCAATTGTACTAAAACAGATATAATTTGACACCTTTTAAAATCCTAAATAGCTTTTGTAAAAATAATATATATGTGCCGCATATATATACCTCTATTAATTATATATTAATTATCTTCTCTTTGGTTAAAGGAATTCTCAGAATTTAAGATGTTACCAGTTCGTTCGGCTCTATTCATTAATCGGGTTTTTATAATAGTCAAATATACAAGCCGGATCAAGCCGATAACATCCCTAAAAAAAACAGAACAGTATATCGATATAGTTATATTTAGGATATTTAGACTCCGTAAATCCGACAAAATGCACATAAATAAATAAATAAACATATATATATTAAAATATAAACATGAATATTTTGAAATAAAAAAAAAATTGACATCAAAAAAGCATTAATATAGTCTATATATTCGAATTTTCGACTATTCCAAATGAATTTCATGTGCCTAATTATGAATATCAATATATATATATCAAATATACGCATATGGTTTAAAAATATGGCTAATACGTGGGATGACAGAATGAGACTAATAGGGAATATCATTTGCTGGGTGTCACTAGATAGCATTTACAAGGGAAAAAAAAACAGATCACTCATAGTTCCCTAATTAGGTAACAACCCGCACCGCACTGGTAATATGTATAAACACATATTGTAGTTCCACGGTAATTTAGTAAAAAGTTAAACGAGCATGCTGAATTTGATAATGAAATGTAAAAAATTACGAGAGAATGCATTATCACAAATTTCACACGTGTACGTACAAGAAAACAATTCGTTATGGGAATGTAATGAATGCAGTGAATGTAATGAATAAATGTAGAATAATGTAAAGCTAAGAATAATGATTAAATGCTAAGACAGGAATAATGGTTAAATGTTAAAAGGTAGAAATAATTATAATATATAATTAATATAATTAATAGAAGATAAATAAATAATTTAATTAATAAAAGATAAATAAATAATACAATTCAAATTAGGATTTAAAATCAAGAATAAATGGCTTTAATAGGTTTTTATTAAAAATACGTATATTATAGATTGTTCTCTCATAATTTTATGATGATTTATTAGTATATATTTAATGTATATAATTATTAGTAATTTATTCTAACTATTCTCATCGGTGAGTTTTAGTTAGGGGCTGAAGCAAATACTAACTGTAAGTATTAAATTCTATTACGTACGCACGTACTGTACAACATATTAATAATTAATCGTTCCTAATCATTCAGTAATTAATATAACAGAAGGTAAACATAAAAAAAAAAAAAAAAAAAAAACTTAGCATTTCTTTTGTTCATTGACAGTATAATAGCGGATCTTCCTGATTATAAAGTCTCATTACTATATTGATATCATTTTTGGATAAATACACTACATATAAAGTAATTTGTCAAAAAAGGTAAAGAATGTAAATAATTACTCAAAGTATATAAATATGGTGAACAGTTGTATTACCTGCAGACTGTTTATATCTTCTAGTAAATTAATTTACGCTTGAAATACCTGTATTTGATAAAACAAGGAAATGCAACCAATTTTTGATTAAAATATTCTGATTTTTAAAAAAAACTATAAATGAATCCTTCTGCAATTTATTGATTAAATATTTTGTATATCTCATTCTCTTGCGTCTTTTCTGCCTTTTTGTTCAATCGTCATCGTCATCGTATAGGCTTTCCTTATTCATATAAACCTTTCTCTAATTCTATTCAAATTTTTCAATTTTTGCATATACTATATAATTAATTATTATGACATGGCATTTAATCGACTGATGGTGAAAAGCGCATAGAGTTAAATGGGTGTTCCGTCTGGGATAACACGGTGTTGCATCCCTTCTCAATCTTTAAGCATTTTTTCTATTTATTTTTTTCCTTCCCCAACTACCATAATGGCGGCGCCTATTGGTTCAAACAATCCCAGTTCTCTTCCTACGGATCCTCCCATAACTTCAACTCTCTTTCAATCTAGTATAAGCACATTTGGTTAGTATAATGATCACACTTGCAAAGATTTCTATCTTTTTCGATTTTCATAATTATGAATTAATCTTGTCATTCATATCATTTATAAATATAAAGCTCCCATTATATCTAATACAATTTCTAACTCTCCCACTGGAACCACCTCACATACACAACAATCTACGGCAACAAATCAAAATTTACCTACAATAATTTCGATAACGGTATTTAGTACACTTTTAATTGGTGCTCTGTTGCTCGCTTTCATTCGTTCCAGACATAAACGACAACGACAAAATGCGCTTGCTACAGCGATAATAGCTGCTGAAGCTGAACTCGATGAGAATGGATCTAGAGTTGGTGATATATCGAATATACATTCCTCTCCATCTCCATCTCCTCCTCTTCCTCCTCCAACACCACCATCCACTCCAATTCCTACCGAACCTTCTGCTGTAGCAATTAGTCAACCAAGATCTCCTCCAAGATATAAAATCTCCACCCTTCAAATAGAGCCAATGACACGACGTTTGACATTAAACCTTCATCAAAAAGGTAAGAGTATCGTCGTAAATGACGATAATGATGTGAATACTGATCACGTGGTCAACGTCGTTTCTATAAGCGAAAGCGCAGATCTCGATAGCGATGATGATGATGATGATGCTGGTAACAGTGGTGGTTCTCAGAAAAAGAAAAAAGGACGATTTAAGTTTTGGTAATTTATTTGGACATTTACTTTATAAAATTAAACAATTTTTCCTAATGTAAATAGTTTTTTTGTGAGCAATAATATTTTTTTTAAAAAAAAAAAACATTGAAAATCTGGGGGGATACCCATTACGGGACAAAGCATCAATCATCACGGCCGAGAAATCTTGCAAGATTTATTATTGCAATGCATTTTGATGTCTTCTTGTTTCACACGAATAAATGCTATGCTATAAAAAAAAATTTTTTTATTTATTTGCATAGTTGTACATATTTAAATTTTCTCTCTCTTTCTCTCTCTCTTGTATTTTTAAGCATTCTGAAATTACCAATAAAAATTTTGATAAATTCTGGTATCATCTAGTAACATTTAGAATAAACTTTTATCCTATTACAAATGTGACGATCTATAAACTTTTAAATCAAACTTTACATAAGTGTTAGTTTTACAAAATTGTCGATGCTGGCGCGTGGAATTTTCTGCAATGTTATTTAAAAAATTTAATAACCCACTCTTTATCAAATAAACCAAACCTTGTTTAAAACAATGAACAAAGTCTCATTTTCTTTGTATAAATTTTGATCTTATTTCCGATTTGTTTTCCTTTCTTAGAACCAATTATGTACCAAAATTTTACTTTTTTTTTTTCTAAATAATAATGCTTACATCACATGCCACTTGCACAAAAATATTTATGCATTTAATCGTCAGTCGATCGCGCAGTATAGGCATTACCTTTCAGTAATCCAATCGATTCTCGTTTTTCTAATTTTAGAGTTGTTTATCACTAATTTTTTTAATCAAACCTTCTATAAACCTTCATTTATTGTCATGAGGCATATACTTATATCCGAATTCTCTTTTTTCTTTATAAACTATTAATTGAATTAGAAAATTTCCTGAAAATCTAGTTTCCTAATATGCACATCTCCCACATTCTTGGCTGCTCATCTTAGCAACACAAATCTTCTATTTGTCTATATTTCTGTTGTACATACTATACGTGTGCGTTCATACCGTACATACGTTGAATAAGCTTACTAAATTTAGAATCTATTCTAAATATTATATAGATTTTAACGGTTAAAAGATTCCCGAACCATAATATAGGTGATTAAATCAAACCGAATTATTTTTCAAATGCACGTCTTGCACGCTAATTCCTGATGACATATGAATTTATCATAACAATTCTTTAAGACCATATTCAGTAAAGTAGGTAATGCGTAGTATTAAGTGTTCAGAGCTAATGATTTTGACTGATCATCATGTAGTCAACCAATCTGCGAACTGTGGTAATAACAAATTATTATATAAAATTATTAATTTATTAGAAATATAATCAAATTAATTAAAGATGATTATCTCCACTCTTATTTTGAGGTTTAGGGTGCAGTTTGAGACCAAAAGAGAGGTTTTATGGTTCAAATTTTAGTTAAACTTGGGTTTTCGGGGGCTTTGAACATTTTTACTTTGAATCTATTTATGTACGTTTTTGAAATACGTATAGCACCCTGATGGTGATCTAGTTAGATTTATTCAATTTATTAATTATATAGTAAAAACTAAATTTTTATAACTATATATACAGTATATATAGAAATATATTTATTATTATTTTTTATATGATAATTTCTATTTGTATGCTATATATATGGTATATAAACACGAGTAATTATAATGCTTAAAATTCTGCTTATACTACTAGGTTTTAATAAAAAAAATATTTTGTAAATTTTAATATACTATTAACTATCATGTATAATCTTTGTTTTTATTCGTAATTTATATACTATACAGTATATTAGTATAAATTAAAAAAATTTTTATATAAATTTATTTAAACCAATTTTTTATATAAAATTATTTAAAAAATAATTTAAATTTAACTAGAAGTGAAATTACTAGCTTAAAAATTTTTAGAGTTATAGTGCAGCTTTAAGATAAAAAAGAAATTATATATATATAATATAAGGCCATACAAATTTAATTACTTGGTTTTCATAACATGAAACTTTTAAATAGACCCGGCCGGCCGGCTTTTT